TATACATTCTGCCGTCATTATTTAGTCGTTTTTACTTCTTTAAACAGAAATTGTTAGCTTATTACATTTTGATAACCTGTTCTAATACCGAAAAGGTTGTTAAAGACTTTTACAAATAAGCCTAAATTGTTTTACATAACAATCCCAAAGACCCCCCTTAGTTATTTTTAGTTGGCTGGAGACGGAATGAATTAAACATGTAAACTACATGAATAGAGAATAATAAATGTTATATACTACATGCTAGTTTTGATAAATATACTGTAGATGAGTTAGATTTAAATGTGGATTGATATTTATTGTGTAGACGTGTGGACAATGCTATTCTGTGAGAATGACAAAGAAAATATTTTGTTTGATAATATGGATACGTTCAATCTTACATAACTATTGTCATTATCAAACATTCTCACTAATTAAATCGTCTATAAGGTTGTTATAGACTTTTTATTATTATTCTCATTCTGTCAGAATGCTTATTGAGTCATATTATGCAAGAATGAGAATGAGTAAAAAATGATGTGTGAGAACATAAATGAATAAGAATTAGTGATAATGCATGAAAATGACGATAGTTGTGTGAGATTGAACGTATTCACATCACTAAACAACTTATTCTCTTAGTAATTGTCATAGAATAACATTATCCACGCGTCCTCACAATAGTTGTTCATCCACATTATAACCTAGCCCTACCGTAGATTACACTAAAAAATGTAAACATTTTTTACACTTAAAAATCTAAACATATTTTCCCTTTTTAATAAAATAGAATATGATGCATTGGTGCTTTTTAAGAGCCTTTGGGGTACGGTTGGTAATGAGTTTTTGAGAGATTTTAGAAATTTTTAGCATTTGTTTTTTAAGAAAAAACTTCATTCGAAAATATGAACTTAAAATTTTTATTTAAAAAACATAATAATAATCTACAAGCTACTTCAAATACTATTAGAAATATTTTGTTTTTATTTTCTATGATATTTTACATCTATATTCATAAGTTATTCCTCCACTCTTAAATCTATTGAAAGTAATGCTACACCTTTTTAAAACTCCACCGGAATAACATATGATAAACGACCAAAAACTTATGTATTCCAAAAGGCTATAATATTTTTCCTTGCAAAAAAAAGAAAAGTCGACTATAAGGTAGACAAGTAAACCTAAAAGTTAGTAGTAAATTAATGAAATATTGAAGTCAAGCTAAACCTACTCTTACATAACATAATTACATAAGACTTCTATAGTTACTTATTTATTTGGAAAATATATTATATTTTTAACGAATGGACCAATATATTTAAATAAATGAATAGTTAGTAGTACGGTGATCACATTACATAGTTGTCAAGTTCATATAAAATAATGACTTGGTCAATGAATTAAATCTCACTTAAAACCACTAACCAATTTAATACACATCTTGATCTAGCAGTAACGTTCTATTAATTATCTAATCATGAAATGCTTTCTTTAATCTTTCAATGTGATCATGGATTGTACATGTCGTTTGACCTTTTAAAGTAATTTTCTAATGCCCCACTTTTTAGACCATGCCATTTTATATGTCATCTCTTCAGGGATTAGAGTTTACATATATTTGGCTATTTGCTTGAATGTAAACAATAATAATGTTTACATTACACTTCTTTTTAAACTTGGCTTATCTAGATTTTAGGTCCCATAAGAATGTTGAAATTGATTCTATGTCTAAAACTTGTTTAATCATCAAATTACACTGAAACATGAACTTTATAAATTTATATAGCAAATCTCGAGGTTTCACAATTAGAAGTAGGAAGCAAGCACAATTGATCACATGTATCACTTAAGATTATTCTTCGCCCACAAGTCACAAACTATATCTAATTCCATTCATAGCTCTTGATGTGTATAATCCGTTCAAAAACTTGATGTGTAAAATTCAGTCATAAATTTATAATCGATTTTACTAGAATTAGAAATTATTACACAAATGGACAAGTGCACCCAATTGTTTAGTAATATAGTTTTGATAAAAACGAGTGTCGAACACTAGAGGAACGAATATGATTCAATCAAAACATCTAATTGTCAGTTACACTAAAAACAGTAAAAAAAAAGGGGGGAATTTATTACCAAACCGCAAACTAAGAAAGAAAGCAAAACAAAACTAGAAAATTGATTAGGAAATAGATAAATAAAGATACTTTAGTTAGACTTTGATTACACCCTTTTCCTTAATGTTGAGATCTATTACCTGCAGAGGATATTAGTTACTCATTCATCGATTTCTAATGTGGTTAAGTCTCTTAGTTTATTTCTAATCTTGATGATTCTAAAGACAATTAACACAATTGTCATATAATTAACTATCTTTATTACCCATATTTAGTCCGTATTATGCAAAATTTAATCTTTGTTAATCTAATAGTTATGAAAAATCAATACTACATAGAATGGTCATCTAATACAATTCACACATATTAAAGTTCATTACTATATCTACTTAACTATAAGATTTGTCTATCACTAGTTATAATTGTCAATAATCATGATCTACTATGATTCAAGCAAACACATTTGTCTTTAATTAAACAAACACAATAAATTATATCACTAGTAACATCCAAATAACAATCAAACCAATCATTAAATGTTCATCTATATCTAATTAAAAATACATGAAGTTGTAAAAACAGACTTTGAAAAAATATATATATATATAAAACTAAACGATGATAGTTTTAAAAGTTTAGAGACTAATAAGAGTCCAAAAAAAGTTAGTAATCTTAAATAGACAAAAAGGACAGTTCAAAGACCATTTTGGCAAACATTAACAAGTTTATTAACATCTTAACTTTTAAAATGACCAACAATTTTAAAACGAGTTAAATGACCAAATAAGCTGATAACCAAAAGTTAAAATGAACAAATTTGACTTTAACCCTAAAATATAAACTCACAACAATTCTGCAATTCTTTTTTATACGGAGATAGATCTCACCCAAGATCAAGGTGTACATGCCATCACAAACATGAACCCAAAACCACATCCAAATGTAAATCCTAATACTCTTCAAGATAACAAAGATATACATAATGGGAGAGAAGAAATTCTAACTTCGGTTCACATAACCTAAAAAAACAAGAACAAAATGACACCCTCAAACTTAAAAGCATACAAATCCATAAACCATCTTCAAAATACAAACTATCTGCTCCATTCTAAATCAGCACCGGATCGCGGGTTACCATTATTCAAACGGGTCGAGTCTTGGGGTTTTATAGAATTCACAAATGTATGCCAACCCAAAAGGTAAGGCACAGCAAACTGCATAACACACACACACACAATAAGTTATAAAAAAAACAACCCAAAAATTTATATATAAAAAAAAATGAAGACATAAATTGATGCAGGAAAGAATATATATACATTGAAAGCTGAGACAAGAATTGCAAACTCTGCCTTTGTAACAGGGATATAAATGCTTTCGTCCATGTTTATAAGCTTGTTTTGAACACCTTCAAGTTATAAAAAAAAAAAAAAAAAAAAAGTTGGGTTAAATTTATAATCAAGAAAAGAGTGGATTAAGAGTTGAAAATAGTAAAACAAAAAAAAGATTAATACTTAGATTAAAGAAGTGGCCCGATCCATCTGGGAGAGGCTCCACCTTTAAAACCTTCCTAACTCTGCCTTCATCACTGTAAAAAATCATGGTGACATTAGTTTTATTTAAAAAGAAAAAAAAAACATTTGATTTAATAAATGACATTTAAATTATATATAAAGGTTACCTTTTTCCTTTAAAAGGGTCGTGAAAGAATTCACATGAATCTTTCGCACCAAGGCTGATTATACTTCCGATTTCAGTAACTGATAATGAGAATACCTGGAATTGCATATGGAATTATAAAAAGAATAAATTATGCGAAAATATATGCTTAACGCAAAAGTTCACAGGAATAACTATAATAAACAGAACATTAACATACAACATTGACTAGTAGAATGAACTTATCAAAGAAATATAGACAATCTTTTAAGAACAGAGGCTGTAATCTTTACACATTAGATCTTCTATAATCTAGTAATCATGTCATATTTAAGACACGAGTCAGGATCTTTATCAATTTTGACACATTTAGTTTAGAATGAAAACATCAAAACAGTGTAGCAAATGAAGCGCAAAAGAAATTCGTTTATATCAGTCGAAAATCAAGAAAATAAAGTTACCTGCTTTCTACTCCAATCATATTGACGAACACCAGCAGAAGGCGCAAATTGAAGCAACACGAAACCCTCTTTTGTCAACTTAAACGCCCCCGACTATGCAAACAATCACCCACAAAATCAAACAACGTGTATCGAAGAATCATATTATAGTAAGCCAACATTTAAACAGTAAACGAAGAAACAATCAGGCATACGTCTAAAGGCGCGAACTCTGGAGGGCGAGGTTCAACTGTAAGAGCAGCCTTTCCTTTGTATATCGAATGCCCGATGAAAACCTTCGGAGCGTCTGTTCATCAATCGAAATCCGAAACAAAACAAAACGCGTTTCACATTTTGAGTAACATTTTCATTTTACAAAATAAGAAGAGATGTTACCTTCTCTGGGTTGAGAGTAAGATGAAGCATCAGGTCGTTGTTGTTGGTCGGAGTATTGACATTTCAGACTGAGTTTTCTTGAGCTGGGGTTTATGAATTTGATTGTAGGAGGAGAAGAGAGATGTGGGTTTAATATGAAAGGGGATTTAGGGTTTTGGATGATGTAGCCACCTTGTGTTGAAGATAGTGATAGGTTTAACATTCTTTCTGCCCTCGACGATGATTTTTGATGGAGTTCTTCACCGTAGACGGTGAGAAATAACTAAAATCTTGAAAAATCTCTGTTTTCCTCTCTCTCGGTCCTGGATAGACAAAAGGACGAATGTACTAAAATCTTGAAAAACCCATTCAAAACCCTACTTTTAGCTCCACGGAACTTTTGTTTCTAAAGGTGTACGTGCAAAAGTGTTTATCGGGTGTGTGATAAAACGGTTTTTTTAGGTTGGCATTTCTAATCCAATCCAACCCAATAGATATTTAGGTTTAGATTTTTAACCATTTAATTAAATAAATTAACCCTTTTAATTAAATGGGTTAATCCGTTTACAACCCGTTAACCCATATAAAATTATTAAATATTTTTAATGTTATATTTATTTATTTAGTATTATTATTTAGTTGATTATTATATTTTGATTATTTTATTTATCAAAACTATGGGTTGGTAACTATTATTGAAATTCTGAGTTGGTAAAAATGATATCCAAGTTGCATAGAATTTTGAAATTAAACATTTATAATGTTTTATAGATGTAAACACTTATTTTTGTTTTCAAACTTGAACAATTATTATAGCTTTAAAATTGTATGCAATTTTATTTGATGAATTATTTGATTTTTAAAGGATTTTTTTTGTAAATATTTAAATGGATCGACCCGGGTTTAATATGTTTAGTAAATAGGTTGGATTGGAAAATCAATAAACAAGCAAACCCAATTTCAACTCATCTACTAAAAAGGTTGGGTTAGGTTACAAATTTTCAACTCATTTACTTAAACAGGTTATGTTGGGTAGAAATTTTCAACACATTTAAATAAATAGGTCAACTCGTTTATGACCCAACCCAACCCATTGTCACCCCTAGTTTTTTTTTTTAAATGTTTCTATTTGTAACCTCCCAGAAATAAGACCCAAAATTTTCATTTTTAATTTGATGAAACCAGTATTCTAAAAACATCATCAATATAATCCCAATAAAAATAAGTGTAACAAACATCATCTCAAATCAGAGTACATCACAAAAAGCGGAGCGAGGTGGTGTGTGCTCTACAATCATCCCGAACACTTCCCCTTGTAACTGGAAGTACCTGAAACATAAACTGAAAATCGTAAACACAAAGCTAGTGAGTTCCCCAAACTACCTCATACAATACATATTAAATCACATATTGGGCCTCCGCCCTCCATCGAGCCCCACCTGGTATCGACTCCCACTCGGCTTTGGGCCTCGCCCGACATCGAGCCCCGCTCGGTATACAAATTTGTTATTCTTAGGCCACGTCTGACATCGGGCCCCGCCCACCATACACATAGACATATATCACATAATCATACTAACACATACAATGATCATAAAACAATAGCATACGATACAGTCATCGGGCCTCGCCTGACATCGAGCCCCGTCCGGTATACATAGCAGAGCATATCGCATGCAAGGGTCACGCAGACTCCTAGCATCCTAACATAAATAACAAGGGCCGACATTGGTGCCTTAGACCCGCTAAACTCAGTGAGGAAACTCACCTTGCCTGCTGAATCACACGACTAAATCTTTGGCTACTAAATGACGAATCCCCGAGCTATCAATATCAAATAACATCCAATTAATAAATGGAATTCAATCTGTTGGGCTTATATTGTTGCGTCATGGGCTCGGTCCTTAGCCCAGTTTTGATTGCCGGTGTGGGCCTGTCCAACCGTGCATGTTTTCACTAGGGTTTAGTATTTAAGCTGCATGCATGCAGCCTTTGAAAAAAAAACGCTTTTATTATTATTCTTATTGAGTATTGTAAACCCTAGCTCGCCTCTACAGTGGACGTTCTTCATAGAGCTCTGCTGAGGCGTGACTATACTTGAATCATAAGCATAACGTTGATTATGTTCTGTGTTCTTAATATTATTGTGTTTGTCTTGTTTGATCTTCGTCTTTTACCTGTGAAAGATCTAATCGATCTGAGATTTATTCTCATCAATTGGTATCAGAGCAGGAGACTGTGTAATTCATACACATCTCTTCTGTCGAAGAAGTTATTAGGGTTTTTCTACATTGATTGATATTAATTGAGCCGTCATTCCATATTGGCGTATCTCATTAATTGTCGATCTTACTCTAACGATAAATTACAAGTCTGATCTTAAACAGGTTATCGATCAAAATTCATCACAATGTCCATGGATGATTCGCAAACTAATCCAATTAACATCTCAACAGTATCGGATCAACGACAAGGATTCCAATCTTGTACACTCAGGATTATGAGGTTTGGACGCACCACTTTGAAGATTATGTGATTGGCTCAGAAGATAATGGGTATTTGATCTGGGAAGCTATCACAGTTGGCCCATTTGCTCATTCAAGTACCTCAAGGATTGTCAAAACTCAAAAGGAGTACAATCAGCTTGTTAGTGATGTGAAAGATATTCCTCAAGACGAGAAAGAAAAGTTTAAATGTAACATTAAAGCCTTAAGAATGATTAGGTTTGCATTGCAGTCCGATACGTTTCGTCTGGTAAATTCATGCACTACAGCTAAAGAGATATGGGACAGACTAAAAGAATTGTATTCCATTGACGCAGATCTGGAACATTCGATACAGACTTTGCTGCTTTCTGAATTTGGTGATTTCAAACAGAAGTCGGAAGAGAAACTTATTCAGACTTTTGATCGCTTTAATCATCTTTTAAGTAAGATGATAAAGCATGGGATCGAAAGGAAGGTTATTGAACAGAAGGTCACATTCATGAACGGTCTAAGACCCGAATGGATGGCAGTTGTGTCAACAGTAAAGGCACATGAACAGTTTAAATAGTATTCTCTGGCGAAACTGGTGGGAATTTTGAAATCCCATGAAAGTGCACTGACTAAGGAAACGAATGTGGTTTCTAGCTTAGGTTCGTTAGCCCTTGTTTCTAAAGAAAAAAATTATGTTGAAGAAGAAGAGGAATTGGATCTTGCCGACTATGATCTAACCGGTGAAGAGTATGCCCTAATGGTGTCCAATCCTAGAAAGTTCATTAAAAGAAAGTTCCCAGCCAACAAGAACCGAAACTGGCAGGGAAGTTACAGCGCTAAAAAGGTTAAGGAGGAACCGAAGATAGTATCGAAGTCAGAAGAGTCCAAGAAAGAAGTGAAAAATGGTGGAGACTCAGGATTTGATTGCCATTACTGTGGAGGCAAGAATCACTTTGCCAAGGACTGCATGCTGAAAAAGAGGGCAGAAAAGACAGATGATGATGATGAGGAAGCGAGCCTCCTGAGACGACTGGAGGAAATCAAGAAAAGAAAGTCTGCTGTTAACAATAAAACTATAAATGCTTTGATTGTACAGGATACAGGCAATAGTGACGAATTTGGTGGCGTCGAAGTATGGTCCACAGACTCAGAGGACGAAGAAGTAAGAAGACCCACTCATGGCAAGGAGATGCTGGTAAAAGAAGAACACACTGCTGGAAGGTGTTTCATGGTGACCGAAGGTGTATCCCAGATGAGAGGATATACAACTGATGGAGGAATAGAAGGCGAGAAGGAGCGAGAGGACAGGTGTTTTGCTGCGAAACCTGTTAGTGTACAGATCAACGAATGTGATGAGTTGATCAAGAAGGTACAAGATATTCTTGCTTCTCTAAAATTACCTGTTACTAACTATGAAAAGGAACTAAATAGCTTAAAATCTAAATTTTCTAGTATAAGTAGCAGTCTTTCCCAAACCCGTGTCACAAACTCTAACCTGACTGATCAACTTAGCAGAGGGTATCGTCGAAGAGTGAGGAAAGGAGGATGTGGATTGAGCTGAAGGAGAAAGAGTTGGTTAGGTCTAAGGATGAGTCAATTTATTTGCAAAGAGACAATCTTAAACTTTTAAAACAACGAAATGTGTTTTGTTTGATTGCTAAAAGACTTTATTTTAATATCACTCAGTTGCATCTCGATTGTGAAATAGGAAAGAAGATACATCGCATGATTTTGCCCTTCCTTGAGTTAAAGGAGGATGAAATCGATGCTGAAGCTTATAACTGTGAAAGCGTGGTATCCTCTGATGAGATCTCACCTACATACAAAATCGGTCTTGACAAAATTGAGTCCTACATTAAGTCCAAGGACCATAAGGACATGCTCAAAAATCTGTTATATGAGAATGATAGATTGAAGATAAGAGCCGAAACGGTACAGAAATTTGACTCGTTGAATGCCAAACTAAGTTCAGAAAATAAAATTGATGTTGAAAATACATCTGAACTTAATGAGGATGATGATCTGAGTGAAATCTCTGTAGAGGACGTGTGACACCCCCAAACCAAGGATGGCGGAAACGTCCGGGGGTGGAGGACTTCATGTATAGTATCATAACAACAATTGTAATAGTAATTCAAGCAAACCCAACCAACATATATATAATTGAAAAAGTTACATCATTGTATGAATTACATGTTTACGAATCAATTACAATATGTTGACAAAATATGAAATAGTAGACGCCTTAGCGTCCCATCCTCAAATGCACTTGGTTACCTGTTTAATGATTTCCTGAGAATACAAGTTGTTTGAAAAAGTGTCAACACAAAGGTTGGTGAGTTCATAAGCTTTTGTTTAGTATTATTAAAAGCCTTTCGTTTATAAAAGTATTATTTATTTTAGAAAATCCAATATTTTCCTTAAAATGTATATGTAGTCTTAAATCCAAAGACCGAAATGTATAAGTAACTTTTCTTACTTATAATAAATAATGTGAGTTTATGTGAGTTTATTAAAGCCTTTTCTTGTAAAAGTAGTGTTCGTTCCAGACAATCCAATATTTTCCTTAATGTGTAAATGTAGTCTTAAAACCCAAAGACCGAAATGTACAAGTAGTGTTCGTTCCTTATAGTAAAACAATGCAAGTTTAAATCGACATAAACTCGTTTGATTTTAGTGAAATCCCCGTAAATTCTATGTTTGTTAATACCACATGTGAGTTATTATAACCATGCTATGACCTAGTTGGCCTGAAACGACGTTCTTCAGGCGTCGGAAATGTTATGACATTTGTCACCCCAGACCTGTCGGTCTAGCTGTTGCATGCAGCTAAGGTGTGGGTTTGTCAGACCCAATATAGATCTATATACAAGTATCACGCTCTCCCTCGAGGAGACTCTGGTTATAATACAAGACTTATTTGT